TTTTTTTTTTTTTTTAACTTGTCGCCAGATAATAATTATTATTATTTTTTTTTTTTTCAAAAAAAAAAAAAAAAATATTGTTCGTATTCATGGTCGTTAACGCGTGTAATTATCGGAAAAAAAAATTATTGAAAAAAAAAAATATTTAAATTATTTTTGTTTTTGTCGTGGCAGGAAGGAGTGAACGAATGAGCAACAAATCGATCGATTGTTTTTTACGGCAACGTCACGTTTTTCGAAATTTAACCAACAAAAAAAATTTAAATTTTTGTTATTTTTATCTTTTTTTCCGTCGTGGCAGGAGTGAACGTTTGGGCAACAAGTCGATCGATTGTTCTTAATGGCAACGTCACGCGATTTTTCACAAAAAAATGAAAATTTATTATTCGTACATGTAAATTATATTCGATTTTTTTTTTTTTTTTTTTGTTTTACACCTTTTACTTACGTCATCAAAAACGATTTTTTTACATTAATAATAATAATGATGATGATAATAAGGAAACAATAAATGTAATTATTAATATTATTATTACCATTATATTTGACATATGTGAGGTGACGAGACGACGTCGACGACGACAACGACGACGTTTTATTCGGGTTTTATTAAGGGCAAATATTTAATTGCGAAATTAAAAAAAAAGAAATTAATATTTTTCTAAATCCTCCTTAATCCCGATTAATCCCCCATTTTTTTTTTTCGTCGCGCACTTACGTACACGTAGACAATTTTTCGAAAAAACATTTTATGCGAAAATTCCAAATTTAAAGCGAAACCATTTTTTTTTTCCTTTCGTCTCGAAATTTTTTTTTTTTTTTGCAAAAGCTAAACATAAGTTTTTATTAATCGATAATTTTAAATTAAAAATCAATAAGTTCAATAATTTATTTTATTTTTATCAATAAGAAGAAGAAGAAGAAAAAGAGAACTTTCTGCTCCGTTTTCATTGAACCAAATAAAATAACGAAATATTTGAAAAATTTATTTTAATAATAATAATAATAATAATAATGATAATAATAATAATGATAATAATAAACATAATCAATATTCATTCACGAAATATTTATTTATTTATTATTTAATGGCGGACTTTTTAAATTTTTTTTTTTTTTTGAAAATTGTATTTATGCGTACTTTAAAGAGTGTTCGTTCGAATCGATAATGATAATAATAATAATAATAATAATAATAATAATAATAATAATAATAATAATAATAATAATAATTTAATATTATTTTATTAGTTCTGGTCGTATATAACAACAACAACAACAAACTACTACTTTTAACTTTTAATGAGTACCTACCGACTAGTATCGATTACACTATAAAAAAAAAAATAATTGTAATTTTATATCATAAATTATTATTATTATTATTATTATTATTATTATTATTATTATTATCACTAACTAATTTTAATTAATTTATTTATTTAGTTAATTTATTAATTTATTTTTGTGTCTTCATTAGTTAAAATCCCGTCGATAAATTTAAACGTTCGATTTAATTTTTCTCGAAAATCGATTTTAATCTAATCGATTTTTTAATATGACGTGTAAGGAAAAAATTTTTTAGTTTTTGACATTTTAAACGGAAATGTTTTTTATTGTATCATCATCATCATCATCATCACTATTATTATTATTATTATTATTATTATTATTATTATTATTACCATTTTCCCTAGCGAGATCAATAATTGATTTTTATTTTCGTTTAGTTTGGTTTGCTCCTTTGTTTTTTTATAAAATTATTTTTTAATATGCTGTAACGTTGTGTCTCTTTTATTATTATTATTATTATTATTATTATTATTATTATTATTATTACTACTACTACTACTACTACTACTACAATTATTATTATTGTTATTACTAAAATTATCATTATTATTATTATTTTTTCAATAACGAATCGCACGTTCTTTCTCTCCTCCCTTCGCGATTTTTCTCTTTTTATTTATAAAATAAAAATTATTATTATTATCAATATGGTTACCGATCGTCGGACGGTTTGAAAGTGGAAAATAGAAAAATATATCGAAATGAAATTTTTCGTTTAATATCGATTAATCGAAATGATTTTTATATCGACGAAATCGAAAGTTAATAAAACCCACGTATGAAAAAACTCGAAAAAATCGTTAAAAAAAGTTTAAAAAAATTTAAAGAAGGCGTCGTTATGAAAGCGACGATTAAATCGATTTCGATTTCGATTATTCGATATCTCTTTAATAATAATTAAATTAAATTTTAATTTATTTAAAAAAAAAATTCAAGTTTCTTACCTAATAATATTATTATTAATATCGGATTAGCCGTGGACGGAAATTTTTTTTTTTTTTTATTTCGTACGAGCGAGTAATCGACCGATTAAGAAAAGAAAAAAAAAAAAATCGGTGAAAGTTACACACGTTTGTCACACATATCGACAACGTGTCATTAAATTAATAATAATTAATTTTTTCTTCTTTTTTACGAAAAATTTAAATCGAAAAAAATCGATTCGATGGATCGATCGATCGATCGATCGATGAAAAAAAAAATGACCGACGGGTGGTTGCATTGATTTTTTTTTCGTTTTGTTTATTGCAACGTGTAATTAGATTATCTTATTTCTTCTTCTTCTTCTTCTTGTTTTACTCTGTGAAAGTAACTTTCGAAAATTTTTGAAAAGGTCAAAAGGTTAATACAAAATTATCGGGCTTTCTAAAGAATTACAATCGATCATTATTTTTGTATTATTATTTCGATATCGAATAATCGATAATCGATTTAAATATCGAAACGTTTTAAATTCCATTAATTCGAATTCGTTTCCGAAAAAATTTTAATTCGTTTTTTTTTTTTCTAATTAAAAAAAATTACGCGGCTTTACACAAACGATTCATCATTAAATCAAGGGGAGGGAGGAGGGGTATGAGGGAGGGATGAAAAAGCGCGAAAAATAATCTGATGCCACGTTTTTGATATTTCAAACGTTAAAAAATATTTTCTTGCTCGTTTTTCCGTTCCCGAAATTTACTGTTTAAAAGAGGAGAGGAGGAATTTTTATTCCCCCTAAAACCAACGTGATAATAATATAATAATAATAATAATAATAATAATAATAATAATAATAATAATAATAATCATTTTCTCTTTTTCCTTCTTCCCTTTTCTCCCTTTTTATTCCTACTTTCATCAAGGTGAAAAAATGTTGTGTGAAAAAGTCAAAAAAAAAAAAAAAAAATCGTATCATTATTATGATTACTGTTAGAAATTTTCCAGTTTTTTTTTTTCTACGAATTATTATTATTATTATTTTCGAATCGATTATCGAAATATTTGTCTCGATCGAGATATTGAGAAATTTATTTAAATAAATCAAATGAGGGATCGAAACAAGGATTTTCCGATTTGATTTTCCATTTCGTTCCTTTTTCTTTTTTTTTAGAAACCATTTTAATGTTATTACGCAATGGAAATGAGATCAAAGGAAATTTAAAAAAAAAAAAAAAGTTTCGATTTAACGAAATGATTGAACGAGAATAATAATAATAATAGTAGTAGTAATGATGATGATGATGATGATGATGATGATGATAAAGGAACAATTACGTGTTTTTCGGTGTTTTTATTTTATTTTATTTTTTTTTTTTCTCTTCTGCTGTCGTCGTCGTCGTCATCATCATCATCATCATCGTCGGCGGCGGCGGCGACGACGACGACGACGACGACGACGATGATAAGATTGAAAGCCAATAACATTTGAATTAGGTTATCGACCTTTTCTCTCTCTCTCTCCTTCTCTCTCACACTTTTTTTTTTTTATATTTATTTTCTTTCTCTTTTTTTTAGAAAAAAAAAAAAAAAGATTTTTTTTTTTTTAATTTCTTTTCAGTTTGTTTACTACTCAGAAAAATTTCTTGTTCAGTCTCTATATATCACTAATTACATATTTAAAGTACAAATGTTTTTTTTTTCTCTTGAAAATTGTGCCATGTTGTTTTCCGACATGTTGTTGTTGTTGTTGTTGTGAGTCATTCCTGTTATCTTGTCTAATTATTTGAATGAGAACTATCGTACCAGTTGGAAAATTACTGTCGACGATAAATAGGCTTTCTTGTTTTTCAACATCAACATCAACAACAACAACAACAACACTCGTCGGATGTGTGACCTTTTTTTTTTTTTTCTTCTTTCCTTTTTATTTTTCTTCTCTCTCTCTCTCTCTCTCTTTCACTCGTTTTCTTTTATTTTATTTTCCCCTCTCTTTCGTTTTTCCCATTTCGTTTGAGTGCGTGTGTGCGTATGTGTGTGCGTTTGCATGTGCGTGTGCGTATTTTTAGTTTTTAACAGTTTTGAATGTCGTACGAACGCGTCTCCGTTTTCATTTTCATCGATTTGTTAACACACACAAAAAAAAAAGTTTCACGTTTCTTTTATTTTTATTTCATATACGTTACACGTTTCGCGCGCGCGTGTGTGTGCTGTTGCTGTTGCAAATTACACGTGATTGATTGATTGATTGATTGATTGATTGACTGACTGACTGATTGACCGACTGACGAATTTTTTACAAATTCACAGCTGTTGTCTTTATTATTATTATTATTTTTTTTTCTTATTACTTACGTTCATTTTTTTTTTAAAATTTCTAATCGTACTTTAAGTAATATTATTATTATTTTTCGTTTGTTCGTTTGTTTGTTTGTTTGTTTGCTCCCGATTCAAAGGTAATTATTAATTAATTGTTTTTTTTTGTTACAAAAGGTTTTGAGAAAAGTATTTTGGTATTTTTTTTAGTTTTTTCAAATTTTTTCATTTTAATCAGTTGTAGTGATCGCAATACTCGAAAAGTAATAATAATAATAATAATAATAATGATAATAATAATAATAAGAAATTTAAATAGATTTAACCGCGTCATAGTTTGTAAAAAAAAAACCAGTCAAACTAGAATTTTCAGATCAGAATTTAATTTTGAATTTTTTTTTTTTTTTTTTTTCATGACGTTTTTCACGGATTCAGTTCCTACAATGAAGTACGCCAACCTACCTGGTTCAGTTTCATTAAAATTAAATAGGAAAATAATTCGAAGTGCCAACCACAGCAACAACAACAACAACAGCAAGAAAAATTCAGAGAATCTCAAAAGATTCGACGATTCATCCGATCCGAGCGAATTATCCAGCGATTCGGGACTCGGTTTAGATCATCAATCCGAAGTACAATTAGCAACGAGAAGTAGTTTGCCATATTCAACAAACAACAACAACAACAACAACAACAACAACCTTAATAACATTAATAATAATAATATAAATATAAATAATAAAAGTTTGTGGTCCGGTTTCGGAGAGCCCGACGCGAAAAGGAAAAAATACTACAATAATACGGAAATCGAACCGGACGACATTAATGACGAATTTTGTTTTCCCGATATTCTAAGGCCGAAAAGTGAAAACGATTCGGGTGACGATTATACGAAGGGTAAATTATTATTAAGTATGCCTGGAAGAGGGAGAGGACACCCGGGAACTTCAGTGACATTAGCAACGCCTTTAAGCACAACGAGCAGAGATGGTAAAACCCAATTGATAATCGTTTGTCAACCCGAACAACAGCACAGGGCGAGGTATCAAACGGAAGGAAGTAGGGGAGCGGTAAAAGATCGAACGGGAAACGGTTTCCCAGTCGTAAAAGTAAGTTTCGATTATCATTATTATTATTATTATTATTATTATTATTATTATTATTATTATTATTATTATTATTACTATTATTATTACGTAATCAAAATTCACCTTGTTTTTTGTATTTATCTTTCGTCACGTGTTGGCCACGTTGAAAAATAAAATTTTGTTTTTTTTTTTTGTTTTTTTTTTTTTTCCCGAAATTAAAATAATTACATCAATAATAATAATAATAATAATAATAATAATAATAATAATAATAATAATAATAATAATAATAATAATAATAAGAATTGGGTCAATCGCTGATTATGATTGTGAAAATAAATAAATTTTTTGAAGTATCTAAAAAAAAAAAATGGGGACCGCGATATCTTAAATCAAAACAATTTTCCAAGAAAACTTGTTAACCTTTCGAAAGCCTAGACAGATAAATTTGTTTATCATTTTTTAAAGCCGAAGCTTTTTTTTTTTTTTTTTTTTTTATTTAAAAAAGAAAGAGAGAGAGAGAGAGAGAAGACATTTGTCCTCAAACGTTTCTTTTGTTGGGAAAGGGGATTACGGAAAAAAAAAACCGGATTCGGGGAGAGAGAGAGAGAGAGGGAAAGGGAAGAATATGAATTGATAACAAATAAAAATAAAGAACGTTTTATTTATTGATATGGGAACAAACGTGCAAACGTACAAACGGACAAACATGTATACAACCACGGATTTTTTTTTTCTATAAAGAATTAACCGTTTGTTTGTTTTTTTTTTTGGGAAATCTTTTCAATTTAAATTTTATTAAAAATTTTCTTACAAAATTGTTTGTTACCCCTCATTTTCTCTCTCTCTCTAATTAAAACAAACGACAAACATTTTTTTTGTTTGTTTTCGATTGATTAAAAACAAACATTAAAGAGAAAATTTCAAATTCATTCAATGATAATAAAAAAAAAAAAAAGCGAAAGAGCATTCGTTTGTAACGTTTTTTTTTTTTCTACAGTTGGCAGGTTACAACAAGCCGACAACATTACAAATATTCATAGGTACAGACGTGGGACGAGTAACGCCTCACATGTTTTATCAAGCTTGCAGAGTTTCTGGAAAAAATTCAACTCCATGCGTCGAAAGGAAAATCGACGGGACCGTCGTCATCGAAGTTGATTTAGATCCATCCAAAGATATGGTAATCACGTATGTGTCTTTCAAACTATTAGTTTTATTTATTAATCATCATTATTATCATCACCGTCACCATCATCATCATCATCACCGTCATCAACAACTTGTTATCATTTAATTTCCCCCCCTCCTTGTTTGTTTACTTTGGAATCATAAAAATTAATATCCCCCTTTGGCAAAAATTATTATTATTATTATTATTATTATTATTATTTGTTTAAAAAAAGATGCGATTGCGTTGGAATATTGAAAGAGAGAAACGTGGATGTCGAACACAGATTTCCAGATCAAACCGGAACTCGAAATAAGAAAAAATCAACGAGGTGTCGAATGGTTTTCAGGACGACAATAACAAACACTGAAGGTTTAACGGAAGTACTGCAAGTTTGTTCGCAGCCCATTGTTTGCAGTGAGTACATATAAACAAGTTTATTTTCTCTCTCTCTCTCTCTCGTCTTGTGACACGTTCCCCTTTTTTTCCTGCATACTATAAATAATTACCCCGTTTTCATCACTAGGACACGATAATTATGTCAATTATACGTTTATTTAATTTTACCCATTAAAAAAAAAAAGAAAGAAAAAATTTTCCTAATTAATAAATTTTTTTAATTACTATCATCATCATCATCGTCGTCGTCGTGGCAGTAGTCAAAAAACACTCCGTTTAAAATAATAATAATTATCGTTAATAAATCAAAATCGAAAGTGTTATGTATGTTTTAATTTTTTTTTTTTTTTTTATTTCCCGTCAGCTCAACCTCCCGGTGTTCCAGAAATCTGTAAGAAATCTCTGACGTCATGTCCGGTTACCGGAGGAGCCGAATTGTTCATATTGGGAAAAAATTTTTTAAAAGACACGAAAGTTATTTTTCAACAAGCGGAAGTTCATCCCCCGTGGGAAGAAACCGTTTTGCCCGACAAGGAATTTTTACAACAGGTACGCGATAAAAATCAATAATAATGATAAGGTTTTTTTTTATAATAATAATAATAATAATAATAATAGTTTTTGTTTTTCTTGATTTTTTTTCCAGACACATTTGATTTGCGTCGTTCCCCCTTACAGGACTCCAGACATTATGGATCCCGTCACGGTGAAAATATTCATAACGTCCAGCGGTAAAGCAAGCGATCCTCACACGTTTATTTACCTTCCAGCGGGCAGTCCGATCGTTCCGTGTAAGTACCACGATTTTTTTTTCTTTTTCCACGACTTTTTGCCTTTTTTTATTTATTTACGTATGCCGAGAAATCGTCTGCCGTCGTCTGGAATTTTTGATGATTTCATTAATTAAAAACACATTTGTTCCTTACTTATTGACATCACCTCGGGTCATTCGATAATCACTCTGACAACAAAATTAAAAAAAAAAAAAATGTTTGTTTGTTTGTTTGTTTGTTTTGTTTTTGTTTTTCTTCCTTTCGATTCGTTTCGTCAAACGATTAATTGTTTTGATTCTTTGTTTTTGTTTTATTCCCTTTGTGAAATTCAAATGTCCCTCCTTCTCTCTTTCTCTCTTTCCTTCTCTCTTTCTCTTTTTCTTTCTCTCCTTCTTTCCCTCTCTCTCCCTCTTTCTCCTTTTTAAGTAGTCCTACTAATTTGTCAAGAAATGCTTCTACTGAGTTAATAGTTAGTGTTCAAACGTTTATTCCATAAAAATTTTTCACAATGTCGATCAATGATGATGATGATAATAGTAATAATAATAATAATAATTTTTCTTTTCGATTTTTCAGCGTTGGTGGTTTCGTCTTCTTCGTGTTCCTCGTACCTGCCGTCGCCTTTATCGCAAGGTGAGTTTTTCTTTTTTTTTACCATTTTAACCAAAAAAAAAAAAAAAAAAATTTGTTTCTTTCATTTAGGAAGGTCATCGGTCAAATTATTTATAATTAATTTATATATAAATATTTATTACACACACATACACGCGCGTGCGTGCGCGCGCACGCGCACACGTGCGTTTATATAATAATAATTATATATATATATTTATGCCTGAAGCCAAAAAAATTTTTTTTTTTTTTTTTTTTTTTTTTTTTTTTGGCTGATTAATAATTGTTAATTTTTTATTCACTTATTTTTTTTTCTTTCTTCAATTATTTATTTATTTAATTATTACTTATTTTCTACTACTACTACTATTATTATTATTATTTATTTATTTATTTATTTATTTTTCTCTTATTTGTATTATTGATCAATCATTATTATAAATGCAATGGGAATCAATTAATTTAATATTTTCGTGGCTTTGACTCATTAATTAAATATTAAGGAAGAGAAATTTTTAAACGTTGCCAAATTTTCGTTTTTTTTTTTTTTTATAAGCGTTGCCGAATTTATATTTATTTATTTTCTTATCGATAAAAGCGAAATGTTAATAATAATAATAATAATTTTATTTTTTAGTTTTTGTTGTTGTTTGATTGTTGCAACGCTATGTTCGAAAAAAAAATTAATAATAATAATAATAATAATAATAATGAAACAAATTTAATAATATTATTATTATTATCAAACGGGTTTCGAAGCGATTGATTGAATGATTGATTGATTGATTGAAGGGTGAAATTGAAACAGTTTTAATGTTGTTTAAAGAAAAATGTCTTCTTCCATTTATTCTATAATTTTTTCTTTATTAATTATAAAATAATAATAATAATAATTGTTTTATTTGAAAATCGTAAAAGAACACAAAACCGTTAATAAATTTGCTAATATTATTATTATTATTTTCACTTTTAAACAGGATAAACTTCAAAATACTTGTCGGAGGTTTTTTTTTTTTTTTTTTTTTTTTAGGCATTTATTTCAGGTTTCTATCTGATTTTTATTAGGGATAAATTCTCACATTTCTTTGGTGCTGTTTATAGTATTTTTCAAAGAATGTGGGCCGTCCCACATAGCGTAGATTTCCTGGATGGTTTCTTCAAATTTTCTTTCATTGAGTGTGGCACGGCTCCCAGTACCCCCCGAGTACTGGGTACTAAAGTACTCAGTACTCGGGGGGTACTCTAGTACCGGGTACTCCTTTTTTCGTTCCCCACATCCTGGCTATTTAATTTCCAAAATTTTTACATTTCAGCCTTGGACCGCTTCTTTGGCTCTCGGAAATTTTTTTTCACCGGTACGGGGACTTCAATTAGCTTACGCCATTTGTCGGAATTACGCTTCTCAGGATGATATCCGGTTTGTTGGCTGGCACATTTTTGTCATTGAGGATTTTTTTTGATCGTGGAGAACTGTGAATGGATCTGCTGCTGTTGTAAACGGGCTTGGAATGCGGTTGTAAGACTCCTTGGGTAATCCATCAATTCCAGTGGAGATTTTGAGAAATTTTATCGTTCTTCTCTAGTATAGGACAATCGAAAATTAAGAAGTGGTCGACGGTTTCCGACTGAGATTGGCAAATTGGGCACACGTCACGGCACACGTCATCTTGGGGCACTTTCAGGATTGTCTTCTCATAGTCATGGATCCGCAAGTGTTGGTCTTGAGCAGCTGTAATAAACGCTTCCTTTTCAATCGTAGGTTTCCCACGCTTCAGCCAATTGTGGGTGCTTTTCTTATTAAAAGAAGAGCATCCACAATTGGCTGAAGCGTTCAATCCTTTCAAATGTTGTCCATGCATCTTTTTCTCTTCCCCCTTGCCCTTTAATTTCTTCTGAGATTCCGCTTTACCCAATTGTGCGTGTTCTTCTTATTAGTAAAAAGAACACGCACAATTGGCTGAAGTGTTCAATCTTCTTCTTCTTCTAATGTTGACCATATTACTTTTCCTGTTCCCACTTGCCCCTTTAATTTCTTCTGCATTAATTTGGGCAAAGCCCAATCTCAGAAGAAATTATTATAAGTACCCATTCTTCCCATTCTTCCTAGTCTTCCTATTCATCCGACTCTTCCCATTCTTCCTAGTCTTCCTATTCATCCGACTCTTCCCATTCTTCCCTTTCTTCCTCTCATCCTCATCCTCACCCTCTTCCTCTCATCCTCACCCTCTTCCTCTCATCCTCATCCTCATCCTCATCCTCATCCTCACCCTCTTCCTCTCATCCTCACCCTCTTCCTCTCATCCTCACCCTCTTCCTCTCATCCTCACCCTCTTCCTCTCATCCTCACCCTCTTCCTCTCATCCTCACCCTCTTCCTCTCATCCTCACCCTCTTCCTCTCATCCTCACCCTCTTCCTCTCATCCTCACCCTCTTCCTCTCATCCTCACCCTCTTCCTCTCATCCTCACCCTCTTCCTCTCATCCTCACCCTCTTCCTCTCATCCTCACCCTCTTCCTCTCATCCTCATCCTCTTCCTCTCATCCTCACCCTCTTCCTCTCATCCTCACCCTCTTCCTCTCATCCTCACCCTCTTCCTCTCATCCTCACCCTCTTCCTCTCATCCTCACCCTCTTTCTCTCTCTCTCTCTCTCTCTCTCTCTCTCTCTCTCTCTCTCTCTCTCTCTCTCTCTCTCTCTCTCTCTCTCTCTCTCCTCTCTCCTCTCTCCTCTCTCCTCTCTCTCTCTCTCCTCTCTCTCTCTCTCTCTCCTCTCTCCTCTCTCCTCTCTCCTCTCTCCTCTCTCCTCTCTCCTCTCTCCTCTCTCCTCTCTCCTCTCTCCTCTCTCCTCTCTCCTCTCTCCTCTCTCCTCTCTCCTCTCTCCTCTCTCCTCTCTCCTCTCTCCTCTCTCCTCTCTCCTCTCTCCTCTCTCCTCTCTCCTCTCTCCTCTCTCCTCTCTCCTCTCTCCTCTCTCCTCTCTCCTCTCTCCTCTCTCCTCTCTCCTCTCTCCTCTCTCCTCTCTCCTCTCTCCTCTCTCCTCTCTCCTCTCTCCTCTCTCCTCTCTCCTCTCTCCTCTCTCCTCTTTTACTTTTCTTCTCTCTTCTTTTACTTTTCTTCTCTCTTCTCTCTTCTTCTTCTATTACTTTTCTTCTCTCTTCTCTCTTCTCTCTTCTTCTTCTATTACTTTTCTTCTCTCTTCTTTTACTTTTCTTCTCTCTTCTCTCTTCTTCTTCTATTACTTTTCTTCTCTCTTCTTTTACTTTTCTTCTCTCTTCTTTTACTTTTCTTCTCTCTTCTCTCTTCTTCTTCTATTACTTTTCTTCTCTCTTCTCTCTTCTTCTTCTATTACTTTTCTTCTCTCTTCTCTCTTCTTCTTCTATTACTTTTCTTCTCGCTTCTCTCTTCTTCTTCTATTACTTTTCTTCTCGCTTCTCTCTTCTTCTTCTATTACTTTTCTTCTCGCTTCTCTCTTCTTCTTCTTCTCTTCCTCCCTTTCTATTTTTCTCTTTCTTTTATTTCTTCCATTTCGTTTTCTTCGTTTTTCTTTATTATTTGCCTTACTTTTTCGAGAACTTTTTTTTTCGTGATCTTCTCCTCCATTACCACTTCTTGGGCTAAGATTAGGTGCTGTTGATGAGATTCCATGTATTCTCCCATCTCCGATCCCGATTGGCGTTCTGGTTCTCCTCTTCTATTTGGCGTAGTCCTCTTTTTCCATCTTTCCTCCTGATAGTTAATATTTTTCTTGTTCTTCGGTCCAGGTACGTGATTTCTTCTTTCGTCCAGTCTACGAGTCCAAAACTGTTTTCTATTATTGGAACTCCTAATGTGCCGATGACGTTTATCTTCTTTCTTCCATTGAGTTCCATTGAGTAATATAAGCCTCAATCTTCTTAAGATATTCTTTCTTCAGTCGAGTTTTAATTTCTTCGTTTGCTATTCCAAAATTTTCTTCGATTCCGAGGTATTTGTATTTTGATCCGGGGGATTCACTTCTTTAATAAACTCCTCTTCAAAGTCTTCTGTATGTTGATCCGAGGGATTCACTTCTTTAATATTCTCCTCTTCAAAGTCTTCTGTATGTTGGTCCGGGGGATTCACTTCTTTAATAAACTCCTCTTCAAAGTCTTCTGTATGTTGATCCGAGGGATTCACTTCTTTAATATTCTCCTCTTCAAAGTCTTCTGTATGTTGGTCCGGGGGATTCACTTCTTTAATAAATTCCTCTTCAGAATCTTCTACGTGTTCCTTCTTCTTTAACATTCCTCTGACTTTAGCACATTTTTCCAAATCAAATTTCATGTTGGCGTGAGAGGAGAAAGTTTGTACCGTCCTTAAAATTTTCTTAATTTCTTCTTCACTCTTCCATGTACAGGATATGAATGATTGTCCTCCTTCCTGACGTTAATTCAAAGTCTTGATCCTTCATTAACTTCTGGAATTAAACTTATACAAAAGTGTAGAGCGGCGACAGTGAATCCCCATGGAAAATTCTTCTTTTTATAAATATTTTCCTACAAGAGTATTTTTCCACTTCCAGTTGGCTGCACCAAATTTTCTTCTTCTCTTTTGTTTTCCAATGTTCATTTAATCAATTTATTTATTAATAAAATTTCTTTGTGATGGTAATAAAATGTTTTATTTTTTTTCCAAGTGTCCTCCATAAATCTTCTCTGCGATAATATCCGTTATTATGCATTTTCGGCAACACAAGTAATAGGGGTGGGGGGCCTCCATCGACTTGAACTTTTGTCCTGTTGTTTGTCCCTTTGATAAATCACTTATTAATGGAGTGCGGTGTCCTTAATTTTTCTTTCTGGATCCATTTTGATGTCCTCGAGTTGTTTTCTTTCTTCTTTCCCCAAAATTATATTTGTCGTAACTACCCCTGCAGCATATGCGTCTTCATTAAGAGCTGTCGAATCCGGTTCATTCGCACTCTTCCAATAGTAAAAATTTTTCTTTTTTTTTTTTCGTTTGGTGACGTAGAGAGATTTCCGGTTTTCCAATAGAGATGCCCCTTCAATTTATTTTAAGTTTAAGTTGTTGTTGTTGTTGTGGTTGTAGCTGTTGTTGCTGTTGTTGATACTTTTCCTAAAACAAAAAAAAAAAAAAAATTAATTAATTAATTTTTAATAAACATTTTTTTTTTATTTAGTGATTTTCTTTTCTCGAAATCATTATTTTTTCACACTTGTTTGTTTGTTTGTTTATTTTGTCTGTTTGTTTCGCTTCGAAAACTCGATAATAAAGCAAAAAAAAAAAAAAGAAAAAGTTTGTATTTTGTATTTTATCATTTTTTTAAAAAAAAAATTTGATTCCCATTGTAAAAAAAAAAATTTTGTAATAATTTTTTTTCTGTTTGTTAAATTTGTGATTTAAACAAATGTGATAATTAAAAAAAAAAAAAAATTATTATTATTATTATTATTATTATTATTTTTATATGATTTTTATTTTTTGTAAAAAAAAAAAAAAAAAATAAGGAAACGAAACAATCGTAGTCCCTACAACAATCAGTGTTCAACCTGAGCGATTTTCTGAGGGGAAAAAAAAAAAAAAACGAGTAGTAGAGATGACGACACTCACTTTCTGTCATCATCATGAGGATAATGTGATGGTGTCACAGAATCTCGGAAATCGTGAGGGTTACGAGCTATAAAGTAATATGGAAAAAATTTAATTTTAGCTTTTGTTAACGGAAACCGAGTGTTTGCCAAGTCGAGTAACGTTCCAACGGTTTTGCCGACAACCTCCTCTTCGCCTCTAATGAAGCCTCCGTCGACGATGAAGCCAAGTTATTTCGATGCCATAAAAAAGGATTCTATTCATTCTATGTCTCTCATGTGGCCTCAAACGACGAAACAGGCGTCCGTCGTAGAAGAGGAAAAGATGATGCCTCCGCCGCCCGCTTTGATTCCCATATCTCGTCGTTCCTCCGCGTCTACTATGATTATGCCCGACGGCGAGGCGGAATTAAAAATCGAAATAATTGACGATGTCGGTCAGCATAATAAGCAGCACGATCAGCAGCAGAGTTCTTTGTCGCCGTCCGATGTTCAGGGTGTGGATTTGAGTATGAAAACTCCTTTGCTGCGACATTTGGTTGATATACCGCCCGTTTCGGTAGGGTCGCTTGGAATAGATAAATATTTTCCCAAAGGTGACTCCCGTCCCGCCCAAAAATCGTCTTACGTGTACGTGTCCGATCAAGAGGAGAGGCATCAGTTTTTGGATGAGGATCTTCTTCGTCCGCCATCCGCTAAAATCCCATCGCTAGAATTTTCTGTTCAAAATCCCGATTTGTCCGCGGCGTTTCCCAGAGGTTCGACGCAATGCGTTACCCCGAATTCGACCGTCATTCATTCGTCGTCTGGACTCAGTGAGTCTTCCCAACCCGGGTTTGAGACGTCTTCTTCTTCTTCCGCATCTTCTTCTTCTCACGGTCGCAATGAGACTTTCACCGGGAATTCTTCTTTACCCGAACCTTCTTCCATGAGCGATAATAATTCCGTGAGCGATTACGATGCTTATCCCAGAGTTCGAATATCGAGCATGTCACAAAATTACAATCATTCAAATTCGTACAATGAATCCAGATCCATTGTCATGAGGGTTTATAATTCCGAACTTTCTCCCATGGTACTTTCTAATGACTGCTCTATCGACAATGCTATGTCCTCGGTGGTCAAGCAAGCTGTTCGCGATATGGAGGTGAGTATTCAATTTAATTTAGTAGTCTACACACATACACACACACACACACGCTCAACAATACCCCCGCCGGTCCGAAAAAATCGGGTAAGTAAAACTAATTTGGCACTAATATTTCTTCTTTTGGTAAAAGTAAAAAAAAAAATTATAAAAAAAAAACAAGTTAACTCGGTTGTGCTTATAATATTTGTCTCGGCCATCTTCTGGATCAATTCATCAATAATATCAAGAACGGAACGAGTGAGAGAGAGAGAGAGAGAGAAAGAACGAGAGAAAAAGATGTAGAAAATAAAACTCTTCAGAGGACAAGAGTAATGGAATCCGTTTTTAAATTTTGGAGGGAAATTTTTAATATGACGTCATTAGATTTTTTTCCCCCAAAAAAAAAAATTTGAAAACGGATTTTTTGTTGCACGACACAAACAACATTAATTAACAACAACCATCTTATACATACATACATACATACATAATACATGCACACAAACACACACACACACACACACGTGTATACATCGTTTTCTTTGGGCCTTTGAACACACACGTGCATACGATAAGGCGTCTAATGAAAACCTTGTTTATTATTATTATTTTTTCATTTTTTTTTTTTTTTTTCATTTGAAGCGTGGGAATCGGTGGTTCTATTTCACCTATTCATTCATGTGGTTATTATATAGTTTAAAAAAAAGTGTACCTTCCATATCGACGGTAGTAAAGCATATCCTCACTTTAACGCAAGCGAATAAATAGCGATTATTGTGGGCGAAACACGACGAAACGGTTTTTATTAATAAAATTTTTTTTTCTTTCCCCTTTTTTTTTTCCAGTCCGCATTTTACTGCCAAGCCACGACGCCCGCCACGAGTTCCGTGACTCAAGTCACGAGTAATAATTCATCGGGTGGTTTGAATTCATTGGTGTGCCCGGACTTGATAGCACCCACTCAGCAAACGAGGAATCTGGACGATTTTGTCAATTGCGCTGCCGAGTCCCACATCAGTCCGAGGAACGACTCGTTCATGGAACCCAATCCGATGTCGCAGTCGCAGTCTCAGTCGCAGTCGCAATCGCAGTCATCCTCCGAGAAAAATCCAACGACGGAAAACACGTTCGGATCGAGATATCACATCGATTCTCATAATTTGCTATCCGAAGCAACGGAAATGGTGGCAGACGTGTCGAAAGAAAATCAACAGGGAGCCAACGAAATGTTGCTCGATCGCGGTAGTACGAACGCGACTTTCGACAGTTTGGTTTCGTCCGTAACGACGCAAATATTGTCGGGTACGGATAAAATAAACGATGTCACGTCGGGCTCTTCTTGTTTGAATACCCTCATGAGAGCATCGTCGAATTCTAGTCCCGCCACCCACGTTCAAACCCCATCCATGTCGTTTTCCCCGACGAGAGATGAAGACAAACCGTCGGCTTTGATTTCGCCGGGTAGTCAACCACGTTCGCCGAAAGATCCGTCGTACGGTTCTAAAACCGACGATGCCAATACCGACATGGGATCGCGAATGAAATCCTCCGCTTCGACGGCGGTACCACCTTTACCCGTTAAAAACATGACGGAAACGGCTCAGAAAATAGGAGATATGATTGTGCCCGGAGGACCCCCTCCTCCTCTCACCGGAATGGTACCCCAAGAAATGGTCAAAATGACGGACAACGATTTGATAAGTTACATCAATCCGAGCTGTTTCGATCAAGGTTAGTTTACTTTTTACATTTAAACAAAATTCAAACTTACGACCGGAAACAGACGTTCTACCGGAAATCCCTCCTTTATTAAATCTACTCTAATTTACCACTATTGACCCATTACCGGGTGAAGGAAAAGTTTCACGACCACAAAAATTAACAAAAAAAAAAAAAAACGATCACGACGACGACGACGACGACGTGGGCTCGGTTAACTCTAACGCGCGCGTCAGGAGCGTATCAAGTCACTATTTCAAGCCTCGTTAAAAAATTATTAAAAAATAAATAATAATAATAATATTTTTTTTCGCCGAGCATGAAATTAACAAATTTCCCCCTTTAACTCTACCATTATAAATCCCATCGATCAATCAATAATAATAATAATAATAATAATAATAATAATAATAATAATAATAATACAATATAATCATTATTAACCACGGGTATATATATATATAATAAATCAAATGATTTGATTAAAAAAAAATTGACGATCGAGTTTTTTAATTTCAGCCATGTTTTTTTTTTTTTTTTTTTTTTTTTTTTTTCCCGTTAAACGGGAACGAAACAAAATTGGAAGGGGCCCGGGGGAAATTTATTTTTTTAATATGAAAAAAAATATTTCTTTGACCGAACCGGAAGATTTTTTTTTTTTTTTTTTTTTTTTTTTAAACAAAGTGATATCGAACCTTAATCGAAAACAATCAATCAATCAATCAATCAATCATCATCACCACCACCACCAACAACACCGTAATCCCCGTCAAATCGAAAAAAAAAAAAAATTTTTTTTTGAAATATCGATCTCATTGATGATTGGCGAAAACGTCGCCATATTAAAAGGCAAACAAACGTTGATGATGATGATGATGATTATGACAATGACGACAGTGACCGCAATAATGTTTATGATAATAATAATAATAATAATAATAATAATAATAATAATAATAATAATAATTGTGCCGCGTTTTTCCCTTTTTGAAATAAAAAAAAAAAAAAAAAAAAAAAACTAAATGTGATGAAATATATAGAGTAACGTCACACTGTTTTTGTTCCAGTGTGAGAGAGAGAGAGAGATAAAGTGCCGTGTATATAAATATATATGTAAAAAGTCTCTCTCTCTCGGGGGGAAAAAAAAGAAAAGGAAAGATCGTCCAACGTGCTCACGAATAATGGAACATTGTTAAATCTCAGGTGTTGTTGTTGTTGTAATACGTTCAAAAGAGCCTCTCGAAACAAGCAAACAAACAAACAAACAAAAGTTTGTTGAGTGAAAAAAAATAATGATACGTAATTAAATCGCGTTTTTAAAAATAATGCGGAAAACTTTGATCGACATTTTCTTCATACGAACGAGTAAAATAAAAAAAAATATATATATTTGTACATACCTGTGTGCCTGCGTGCCTGAGTGCTTCCGTGAGTGCGTGAGTGCGTAAAATCAGTCGCGTCGTTTTTCTAGAAATAAAAAATTACATATAAATAAATAAATATATATATAAATAATTGAGTGTTAGTATTTATACATCACTTGTAAATATAACTTTATGTATAAAAATAATTATTACATTTACGTGCGTGCGTGCCTGCGTGCCTGCGCCGAACCTGTAAGCATATTTCGCGCGATAATAATAATAATTGATTATGAGGGATATGCCTTGCACGCACTTAAATGTATGATTATATCCAAAGGACTGTTTTATATAATAAAGTTTAATTTTTTTTGTTAGTTTATTAAATGAGATTTATATATAGTTATTATTATTATTATTTTTTTTCTTGAATTGTTGTTGTTGTCGTTGTTATTGTTGTTCGTTTGTTTGTGAGTTTTTTTTTTTTTTATTATTTAAATTGAGTCAGTCATTTATAAATATATATATATTTTTTTAATTTTTAAATTATTTATTATGAGAGAAAAGAGAGAAGAAGACAAAACAAAAGAAAAACAATAAAAATTGTCAAAAAGAGTATAAAGAAGAAGAAGAAGATTAAACAAGTGCCACATTATTTTAAAAGTTTATATATATATATATATATGAAATATTTATTTTTTTTTTTTTAATGAACGCGTGTAATTGTATTTATGTACGGAAATATATATACATATATGCGCGATTAATATATATGAAATCATATTTTAATAATAAAAAAAAAAAAGAAAAATAAATCGACGTTAAATTTAAATTATTGTTCAATTTACCTATTCACGGTTTTGATGAATTCATTTGCCATGTTCATGTTACATCCTGTTGCTTCTTTTCCTTGCCCGGCAAATACCAAATTAATTTAATAAAAAAAATTGATATTGATTGCGTTTTTAGATAAATAAACACAATCATTTTGTTTAACTCGAAATAAAGTTTAAATAAAACCGATCAAACAACAACGAACCAAATGAAATAATACACAAAATTAATAATTTATTGTGAGAAAATTTCAAGGTGTTTCTCCTTTCCTCGTTGATCCGTTAATGCCACACATGAGCACTATGCACTACAGCATCACTGCTGCCAACTTAAAAATTTTTTTACGTTGAGGTTGCAATGAAATGGCGGTCGGTTTTCATAATTTCGTTATGTCAAACGCACAAGTTTTATTCTCAAATTTTTTACACAAGCACAATTTGTTATTTGTTCATTAATTCATTGCTTATATCGTTACTGATATAAGTGAACTTTTAAATTATATAGTTTTTATTATTATTATTCGTTTCCATTTTCATTTCACAAAAAAACACAAAAAAAAACTTTAATCGCATCAAAACACACCACAAGCGTTACATTTCGCACTCCTATCGGCAATTTTGACAACTAAAATTAATCATGGCAATTGTTTTGGACATCAGACTTAAAAGAGTGAACAAAGTTTATCACGAAGGAGTCGGTATAATATAAAATTATTTTAAATTTTTAATTACAAAAGCGAACGGATTTAATAATTTTTAAGCTTATTTTTAGGATTTGGTCAGCGGATTAGTCGTAATTCAATCACCGTCTGATTTTAAACACGATGGCATAACATTGGTCGCCGAAGGAACCGTAAACCTTCAATTGAGTGCGAAAAATGTTGGGATATTGGAAGCGTTCTATCAATCGGTTAAACCGATACAAGTGGTTAATTGCACTCTGGACGTGGCAGCCTCTGGAAAGATTCCCGCTGGTAAAACCGAAATACCTTTTGAATTCACATTAACGCCAAGAACCAACAAAACCCTGTATGAAACATACCATGGAGTTTTTGTCAACATTCAATATCATTTGAGAGTCGATATGAAAAGGTCTTTCCTCGCTAAAGATCTTAGCAAAATGTGTGAATTCATTGTGGAATATCATCCGAACAAGTGTGAAAAAGCCAAACCACATCCCATATCGTTCACAATCACTCCTGACTCGCTTCAAAACGTTCGTAGGAAAAATAGCATTCCAAGATTTTTGATCAGAGGTAAATTAGACTCGACTGTTTGCAATTTAACAAAACCATTCACTGGAGAATTGATATTGGAACATTGTGAGCTACCAATCAAATCTGTTGAATTACAACTTGTCAGAGTTGAAACATGTGGCTGTGCCGAAGGTTATGCAAGAGATGGTAAATGAAACTTTCAATTAATTCTTAATCATTTTCCTTATTAAATATGGAAAGAAATCCTCGAGTTAACATTTTATGTTTCTCGATTTTACAGCCACCGAAATTCAAAACATCCAAATAGGAGAAGGTGATGTACCGACAAATATAGCCATACCTATTTACATGATTTTTCCAAGGTTGTTCACTTGTCCAACTTTAGATACAAATAATTTCAAAGTCGGTAAGTTAAATTTTAAAAAAATGGTGGTGGTAGTAGTAGTAGTAGTAATAATAATGATGATGATGATGATGATGATGGTGCTTTTTCTTTCCTTTCCAGAATTTGAAATCAACATAGTAATAATATTTCAAGATGATCATTTAATAACGGAAAATTTCCCAATCGTTTTAACAAGAGCATAAAAATTCTAATCCATCTACAACTATAAAATTCTCGATCAATTATTTATTTTGTTTTGTTTTTTTAAAATCAAAATGGCGCCCGGTTTAAAGCATTTTGATTGTTCTCTTTTGTGAAAAAAATTTATTTTCAAAAAAATTATTAATTAATTATTTTCCTTTAATCAAATCATAATTTTGTTATTTCTCTTTTTTTTCTTTGTTAAAAACCCTTAAAAATGGTGGAAAAAACGCATTCGGCTTTTTTCTTTTTTCAACTCAAGAAAAAAATTAATAATAATAATGATAATAATTGGAAAAGATCGAATGTAATTTTTCCGTGATGTATTAACACGACATGGACGCCATGTTTTTATTATAAATTTAGTCACGTGATTTTATTTGAAATATTTTTACTAATATTACGTGACTCGGTATTTTTTTTCGGTTCATTAATTTCAAAATGGCGTCACTATTAAAATTGTTCGTTAACCTTTTTCCTTTTTTTTTTTTTTACGAATGCCAAATAATCACGTGATTTTGTAAATAATATATATATATATATATATTTATTTAAAATATAATTGTAAATAAAGATTTTATGAATATTAAAAAAAAAAAAAAGAATTTTATTCTAATTAAACCTTAAACCGTATTAAAATGAATATTTTTTTTGTAGAAAGTTTAACGGTCGTTCGAATCGAATTTTAAATGATTTGATTTCAAATTTTTGCAAACATGGCGGTCATTTTTTTTCCTCAGTCCCAAAATATATATTTCCCGTATTCTAACGTTTAATAATGATAATAATCATTATCGAAACCTTTTTTTTCTCTCTCTCTCTCTCTCTTTAAATATCGAATTTTTTTCCAAAAAAAAAAAACTTTGGACAATAATCAATTCCATAAAAGAAAACGATGATGATAATAATATTAAAACTACATATATATATATTTTTTTTTTTTTTAATATCACGTCGGTTATATCGTTTTCATATTACAACAACCTGGAATTGGTTACTGGAGAAAAATTAAAAATAAATTCATTGGTTAAACGTTTCCAAGGAGGCGTGAACGATTAAATGTCGCCATTGCAATCCGGATTTTATAATTCAAAACAAAAAGTGTGACAGTAAAAAAAAAAAAAAAAAAAAATTTCCCCCCTTCTTCTTCTTCTTCCTATTCTTTTATTTATATAATTTCAATAACGTTCATTTTTTTTTATTAATTATCCTTCCGTAATATTATTATTATTATTATTATTACCATTCGTTAACCGTAATTAATTAGGACGTTTACGTATAAAATTATAATTATTAATTAGAAACAATTTTCATTGAATTCAATTTTAATTGAATTGGTGGTGGTGGTGGTGGCGGAGGCGGCGGAGGAATTTATTATTATTATTATTAAAAACCCCACAAAAAATCGACAATAATAATAATAATTATAATTATTATTTATAATTATAATAATAATAATAATTATAATTATAATAATTATAATTATTATTATTATTATTTTAAAAAAAATTTTTGTTTTTCCCTCCCCTAAACATTTCCGGTTATGCCATTTTAATATAAAGGCCATAATTCCAGTTTTCCATAAAATAAATGATACAGTGCTGCTCCTAGCGGTTTTTTATAAAAACTAATCAAAACGTAGGTTGTTACGGACGTGGATGTAGACTAATAGTTGCGTGAACATAACAAATAACTCTGGGCCTATTAACACGATCGAAAAACGATTTAATTTAATTTATATATATATATATACATATATTTAAAATTATTGATTTTTTTTTTTTTTTGGAAAATTATTTTCGTGGTAGTAGAAGATAATAAAAAAACTAATAAGTTTAAAATTTTAAAATTTAATAAGAAAAAAATCGGGACAATATTATTCGATTGAAAAACAAACATTGATATCGTTAACAAAAAAAAGAAAATTTTTCTACGTCATGACGATTTTTCATTTGTGTTTTTAATAAGTTTATTTATTTATTTATTTTGTGTGAAAATAAGTTCGAAATTAACGGTTTTTAACGTACGTGTACGTGTGTCTGTGTGTGCGTGTGCGTGTGTGTGTATTAAAGTTTTTTTTTAAAATTTTTAATATCATTACTACGGCCCTGGTGGGATTTTCTTTTTCGCCATATTTATTCAAACGTTCGTTTTTTTTTTTTTTTAACGCGAAGTGTTATTATTATCATCATTTTCTTTTTACATGAAACATTTTTCATTTAAAAAAATAAAAATTCGTTAATCACTTTATAAATTATCTAATAATAAAAAAAAAAAGTTCGCGAACGTTCGTTTTAACCGTTAGAAATTTATTATTATTATTATTATTAATTATTAACGTCAAATGAAATTGGAAAGGGAAATTTTTTGAAAATTTTTTTCCAAACGTTCGAAAATTGACGTCATCGTCGTCATCGTCGTCGTCGTCGTCGTTTTCAAACGATTATGGTAAGTTTACATTTTTCTTTTTTTTTTTTTTTTTTATATAAAATTTTCCACCGATGAGGAAAACTTCGAACGTCGTTCAATACGTTCGCCTTAATTTAATTTTTAACGGTTTTTTTTTTTTTTGTTAATTGGGGAAGGGGAGAAGGTAAATCCCTTTAAAAATCGATATGTGACGTAAAATATTCGTCTCGCGTCAATCTAATAATCAAATCCTTTCATTTTTTTTTTTTTTTTTTCGGTTTTCGAAAGTTGGCAAGACTTTTTTCCTTTTTTTTTTAACCCTTGAATTCGTGAGTGACTGACTCCCAAATGAGAAAAGCGGAAAAAAAAAAAAAAAAAGAAAAAACTTAATCGCGTATTCATTACGCGGATTTGTAATAATGTAATGATAATAATGATAATAATAATGATGGTGATGATGATAATAGTTATTACAATAATAATAATAATAATTATAATCTTTCGAAATGTGTTGCGCGAACGCGTTTAATCGCCGCGTAAAACTTTTAAATACCTCGCGTTAAACCGCATCATGCCGCGCGTTTAATAATAATAATAATTAATTATTTAATTGTAAAATTTTTTTTCTTTTCTTTCCATTTCCGGGAGGGGGTGGACACTGGGGGCAAGCAGACGAACATTTAAAAAAAGAAAATAAATAAGGAGGAGAGGAAAAAATGATTTTTTACAAGGATGTTGACCTTTTTTTCCTCGTTTAAATAAAAAACAAAAACGCGCGTACGCACGCACGCACGCACACGCACGCCCGCTTACGAACATAATATTTAAAAAGGGAACCACCGATTATTATTATTATTATTATTAAATAAAATCACCGATTTCGGCGGTGGTTTCGATTTCCGACCTCCCGTCGGCATTAACTGGTACATTTACATCGATTACCAATTACCGAAAATCAATCAAATCAAACGAAAAAAAAAAAAAAAAACAAATTTTATTACTATTATTATTATTATTATTATTATTTTATTTAACATGAGGAACATGAGAGAGAGAGAAAGAGAAGACGACGACGACGAATAATAATAATAATAATAATTTTAAACAAATATCGATTTGATTTATTTTGCCATTTAAATATTTGATTATGATTAATTATTAACATAATTCAAAATCTCTCTCTCTCTCTCTCTCCCTTCCCTTTCTCTCTCTCATTTGTTTTTTTTCAATTCTTTGCAAACGAATATTCATCATCATCATCATCATCATCGTCGTCGTCGTCGCTATTTGTATCATCATCATCATCATCAAATTTTCTTTAAAAAATTGTCGGGTAAACAATTGAAATGACGTCCGTTGATGACGTCGCGAGGGTGTGATTTGGGGGAGGGGTAATAAAAAAATAAAATTTTCGCGACGGCCTACGGTATCAGTAGCAGAAGCAGTGATAATAATAATAATGAATCCCTACGACGACGACAAATAAAAAAATTAAAACGTATTAAAAATCAATTAACGTCGGTACGTATGATCGCGTAGTAAATAAAACGATTCCGTCGATTCGGCGATCGTCGATCGACGTGTAAATAATCGAATTTTCACGTTTTAATAAGAAAAATAAAACATTATCATTATCATCATCATCATCATCAATAAAATAATTAATTTTCAATAAGTTCAAATTACGTAAAAAAAAAATAAAAAATAAAAAAATAAAACTCGAACGTATCTTTATTTTATTTTATTTTTTTTAATATCTTTTGATTTTATTACTCCGAAAATTAAAAAATAATAATAATAATAATAATGATAATAAACTTTTCTAGGTTTTTCAAATGATAATAATAATAATAATAATAATAATAATAAAAAAAGAAAAAATCATTGAGTAATTTTATTACTCTTTTCCCTTTTTCTTTCTCTCTCATACGTTGCAATCGGGAGTATGAAAAAACTAATTACTATTATTATTATTATCGTTTTTTTTTTTTAAAGAAAACCATTAAAAAACATTGTAATTAAAATAAAATAAAAAAAATAAATAATAATAATAATAATAATAATAATGATTTAATTGGATTTACGAGAAAGTTTAACTGAAAACGGTTTTTAAACCGCCACATTACGACTTCGTACAAAGCAATAAACACACACACACACACACACATAAATATATATTTTAATTTTTTTTCTACGTGTATGTAACATTTTCTTGCACGTGTTTACGCGTGTAAGGAAAATAAAAATTGATAAGCTATGAAGAAAAAGAAGTGAGAAAAAAATTAATAT